ACACTTCCTGCCATGGAATCTGCATTATCAGGCTGCTAATGAAGACAGCGTGTTGACCCTGCTGATGATACGTGTGGAATTGGACATGTTTTGTTTGGGGGGGGGGGTCTCCACCGGGACACCCGCTGTGCCGCTTCAGTCTCACAGAGGGAGGGCTTGTGTTGAGCTCCACAGGGGCTGAACGCTGAGAGAGATGTCAGGAAGAGCCACACGCTGCAATCTGACACATCTGGAGAGTTCACATACACGTAAACACAAACACACATATACAAACACATGTGCACGAAACAACACATACAGTTGAAGTCAGAATTATTAGCCCCCCTGTTTTTTTTTCCCCAATTTCTGTTTAAACGTGAGAGTATTTTTTTTTCAACACATTTCTAGACATAATAGTTTTAATAACTCATTTCTAATAACTGATTTATTTTATCTTTGTCGTGATGACAGTACGTAATATTTGACTAGATATTTTTCAAGACACTTCTACAGCTTAAAGTGACTTTTAAAGACTTAACTAGGTTATTTAGTTTAACTAGGCAGGTTAGGGTAATTAGGCAAGTAATTGTATAATGATGGTTTGTTCTGTAGTCTATTGAAAAATATATAGCTTACAGCGGCAAATAATTTTCACCATGTTTTTTAAAAACTTAAAACTGCTTTTATTCTTGCCAAAATAAAACAAATAAGACTTTCTCCAGAAGAAAAAATATGATCAGAAAAACTGTGAAAGTTTCCTTGCTCTGTTAAACATAATTTGGGAAATATTTAAAGAAAAAAAAAAAAAATTTTAAGGGGGGGGGGGCTAATAATTCTGACCTCAACTGTACATACATAAACACACACACACACACACACACACACACACACACACACACACACACACACACACACACACACACACACACACACACACACACATGCACATGCACAAAACAGCACACTCGGAAACACATACGCACATACATAAATGCACATATTACTAAAATTAATAAAATAATGTTAAATAATGGAAATTATCATTTTTAATAATACAAATATCAATAAAATTATTAATGGAAAAAACTATTGTCTAAAAACTGGACATCTTCAGATGTAATTTATGAGACTTAATATTTACTTAATATATATATATATATATATATATATATATATATATATATATATATATATATATATGTATTCATTAATAAATAATTACAAAATTTAGATTAATAAATAAAAAACATGAAATACAATGACATTAAAGAAGACTATATCAGATTAAATACACAGGAAAATGTGAACATTATCCGAAATGAATTATGCATCAATAACATTTAAAGCACCTAATTGAACCCTGCTAAAATGTTATATTATAATAACATTTAAATAATGCATATGCATCATATAATATAGCTACAATTTATTGCTCCTAATTTACCACTTTACAAATAAATAAATAATTACATTAATATAGATATAGAAAAATAAAAATATTAATAAAATTAATATTTCTATATTAATAAAATATAGAAAAGGCTCAACTGCAAGTGAAAAGAACAAAATATTTACTAATAATTAACATTATGCTGTTGCATTGTATTATGAGTTAGAAGTATTGTTTTGTATATTTTTGTTAAATCAAATGTAAAAATAAGCAGATTAAATATTAACTAATTTGTGTACAATTTGTGTTTCTAATAAAAACACAAGAACAGACAGGAACACTTCTTAAAAGATTTTATTTTATTTTACTTTATTTATGAGAGTTATTAAACAAAAGTGGGTTTACCACTAATGTATCATTAATACTATTAACAATAAAATAAAATAAAAAAATTAAATTAAATTAAATTAAATTAAATTAAATTAAATTAAATTAAATTAAATTAAATTAAGTTCCTGGTGTTGGGTTGCGGCTGGATGGCCATCCGCTGTGTAAAACGTATGCTGGATAAGTTGGCGGTTCATTCCGCTGTGGTGACCCCAGATTTAAAAAAGAACTAAGCTGAAAAGAAAATTAATGAATGAATAAAAATAAAAAAAATTACAAAATAATGACATGTTGAGAAATAAGATAAATTTATTAATTATTTATTATTTAATATATGAGCATTAATATTTATATATATGCATGTAATGTAATTCATAAAGTCATTGCACACATCACCTAATTTACCCGTTAAATTTAATCAAATAAAGTGAAATATTATTTTATTTTAATATTAATATATTTATTATTTCATAAATGAAAATGTATATTTATATATACATACAATGTAAGTCATTAAGTCATTCTACCAATTAAAATTAATAAAATAAAGTTAAATATTACTTTAATACTATATTAAATCAAAAATAACATTATTAAAAATTATAAAATTAATAATAAAATTTAAAAATTATACAAATATATGATTTTGAGAACTCAAAATGTAAACATCAGGCACAAAATAAAACGCATTCTTGAATTCTGAAAAAAAAAAATACTATGCATAAATACAGCAACCAAAACTGAAAGAAAAGGCAAGAATGACTCTGTTAATTAATCATGATGGTTAACAATCATTTATAAATTTTCCTTTAGTTTAGGCCCTTATTTATCAGAGGTCGAAACAGTGGAATGAACCACCAACTATTCCAGCATATGTTTTACGCAGCTGATGTCCTTCCAGCCACAACCCAGTAGTGGGAAACACCCAAACACTCTCATTCTCACATACACTCATACACTAGGGCCAATTTAGCTCATCCAATTCACCAAAAGTGCATTTGTTTAGACTTTGGGGGAAGCCAGAGCACCCGGAAGAAACCCACGCCAACACGGGGAGAACATGCAAACCATCTCCACACAGAAATGCAAACTGGCCCAGCTGGGACTCAAACCAACTTGTTGCTGTGTGGTGACAGTGCTAACCACTGAGCCACTGTGTCACCTGCTTAACAATCAATTCATAAAAAAAAGACAACTTTTTCCCAAAGACTTGCCCCTTTCATTTAAATTCAACAAACGAAAGCTAACCTAACAATTAATGACTGATTTAACTTTGTAAAGAGAGAGCGAGAGATCTAGACTTAGAAAGGACGAAGCACAACTGTTTTATCCCCGTGCACGTTATAATTATATGAGCAATCAACGCTAGGATCCATACTGCTAATTTCATTAGCTTTTCAGCGATGAAGCCGGAGCCGTAATTGAGTTCCTTTCTTATTTATTTATTTCTTTAATAATCTAATGATAGATTTTTTTTTCGTCAAAAGACTTGATTGCGCTGCACAAATCTGCCCGAAAGCCTTTAAATGCTCTGGGAATTACCTTTTTTTGAGTTAATAGCACTTTTGTGTCTAATAGACTGGGAAATATTGGACTTTTCTTTTGTTAGCGGTTGAAATGGAGCTTTAGTTTGTTGTGAATTATGCACAGCTCATTCATCTATTCCCTCTAGTATATATACTCGTCTCTTCAGACTATAGAGCAGTGAAGGCCAGTGCCATGATGAATGTTTTTTAATCTTTTTCTCCGCCTGCTCTACTTCCTGTTATGGAGGATCATTGTTGAGGAGCTGTTTCTGCAGCAGGAGGCCAAGGGTGCGCAATATAACTGAGCACATATTCATGAGATAAATCTGCCATGTTGCATTGAGAGGAAAGCGTCCGGTAAACATGAGCAATCTGGTTTTTCGGTGCTGTCAGCTACTGCTCTGAATAATTTGTTCTAATGCAAGGCCAAATCTGACATTTAAAGCAACAGTGCGTGTGGAAATCTGGTTATAGATTTGGTTTAGATTACCTTTGTGTGACTGTATGGTTAGTGTGGTGTATTTGAAAAATAGTAAATATTAGTTCACATCCAAAACTGAAATGTCAAATAAAAATAATTCTAAAAAAAAAAAAATAGAAACGAATTGACTTAAACATAAAAG